AGGTAAAGCCGTGTATTCGATCGATGGAGCAAAGAGGGCGATGGAGAGGACGGAGGGGGTGGGCCAGGGCGAGGGACGAGTGACCGGCTGTGTTGTCGTGCGGAAGACTGAGCGTCAGCTCTGTGCCCGTCGAAGAGAGGAGAGCTCGCGAGGGAAAGATGAAGCCGGCGGCGAGGGAGTGGTGGCGGCTGGGCAGGCGGGGCTCGCGGCGGCGGCTGTTGAGCAGGGGCCTGGTACAACGCGGCGCGGAGGCGGAGGGTCGGGAGGGCGGAGGAGGAGGGTCGGGAGAGCGGAGGCGGCCGCGCCGGCTGGGGAGAGTGTTGCCTCTCATTCGATAGAAAATGGAGGGGTTGGGGGCGGCTAAAAGTAAGTAGGGTTTGGGGGTGGTATGTGTTAAATTTTTTTTTTTGCTTCTGTGGGGATTCCAAAACTGGTATGTTTTAATGAAATCAAGCGCCCAACCAGTAGGAATCCCGTGTGCAACATGTTTAAGAATCAGATCCAAAGCTATAAATTGTTGTTTCTCATATTTGGGCCTTGTTGTGCAACTCTGATTCACAACAAAAAAATAAAAATCCAACTAAACACGATTATTTTTTTCTTGGTTTTCCAAATTTCTTAAAACACAACAGGAAACAAAAACAAGCAACAGTACATGTCGATAGTATTCAAATTAATACCCGCATCGCGTCATACCTATGTTGGAAGGTTTTGCATCCCTTTTCACATATCCGTGGTTTTCAGTTACCCGTCGATAATACTCACCTCTTACATCCAACATTATTATAATTCAAATTCAACATGTATATATTTGATAATAACACTAAAAGGACCTAATAAATCATGACCATGTAGTATAATATTATCCAAATCATTCATAGACTCTGACACATTTATTAAGCAAAAAATAACTAACTTAATCTTGTTAAAAGGGAGGAAGGAGTGAAGGAAGAATCTGAGGAAAATAAATTAAGGTTTGATTTGATTGACCACTCAATTACTTTTATAACTCTTTATTTTGTTTTGAATTATCCTTCTTTCACCGACAAGTTACAATTTGATATCTCTGTTTTGTTTATATGAAGATACTCTTGGTGGAAGGGTATTGGTATGGGTAAGACGGGGCACGAGAGTCTAAAACCATACACACCTCATTCCCATCAAGCGTTTTGTGGGGTTTACTCATGCCCTCCCCAATCCCCATACCCTATCAATGTGGGGATTTCCTGCATTTATAAGGTCGACAATGGTCGGATACCCGCAGTTGTGCGTTTGATTTTCTATCCCCAGTGCTCATGCGTCCTCACGTAAAAGAGAGGTTAGAATGCTAACAACCAATTTTCTTTGCATGGTGTACGTAACCTGAGTACGTAACCAATAAACTAAGTCAAACTCACAAAGAACTCGGTGTAACATGAATAGAGCCTTTCTGGCTATCAAGTGAGCAGCCCTATTATTCGCACGATCAACAAAACTCAAAGTGATTGCACTAGCGACGTCCAACAAAGAACAAACCTCCCTATAAATCGAAACCCCACTTGCAGCCCAATCTGCGCCACCACCACTTAATTGGCGAGGCCTGATTTAACCCCATCTGGGCTCTGCTTCAGGCTGCATGGGGCGCTCTTTAACTTTGTGGGCCTCTGTGCCTCAGCCCAATCGACTTGTCCCTATCTTCGTTTCCTTTTGCATCCCTTTCTCGTGCATCTTGTTTAACCCTTTCCCCCATTTGCATCAATCAACATATCCATTCCCATAAATCAATTTACTTCACCATGGAGATAGCTACAGTGATCTAAATCTCTAATAAATTAGTATACAACCTTACGGGTTGTTTGGAAGTTATGATTCTAGATGAATGATTCTTTGAATTCATGTATTCTGGAGAATCCATCGTTTTCCCCCCCCCCAAAATTTTGTTCAATACATGCATTTGAGGTGGACCCTCAAATCTCATATCACCCACAATCACTCATTTTAAATCTCAACAAAAAGATATGATTCTTCCTTTGAGATTGTTGACTTTAATTTGTTTCACTTTTAGCTCATAAAGTGATTTTTTCTTTTTTTTAAAATTTTTGAATGACTACAACCAAACAAGACATTCTTCCAATCATCTAATTCTTACAATCTTTGTATTTCCAATAGATGTATTCATCAAATACACATATTTGAAGAATCTCAACTTCCAAACTACCCTACGTATATTTATATTTATGTTGTTTACATCTATACACATTGCCTCATTTAAATCATTGATCTCTCTTTCATTGTCACGCATTCCTTTTTCTTCTTCTCATGTCATGGTAATGCAGCAGAGGTGTTTATGGCATATGATAGGGGGAACTCTCCAAGAGCGTGGATGGTGTTTAGATTGCTATACGTTTGGATCTTCTTTGCATGTATCGATAGAGAACTATACGTCTACTTGCCAACAAAAATTATCGAAACTGATGACAGAGGATGGGTACTACGAAATTGTTATTTTCCAACCGATTAATAATTACGTATTATGTATGATGAAAACCAAATGGTGTATCATGAAAGAAAAAAAAAATTACACCCTCATATACCATCTTAATTAACCTAAATAGAAAAAAAATGGCCTCCAAAATAGCCTAACAATAACAACAATGCGCATCCTCCAGTTCAACCACACATAATCGTTTTCCTCAATAAAAATAACGAATTATATCTCATTCATTTAATTTAATGTTTAATTTTTCCACAGAAAAATTATGGTTATATGATTTACAAAATGCTTTTCATCTTGATACATTTAAAAAATAGAACGTTTATCATAAGTTTTCTACCATAATTTACCATGATGGTACAAAGAAGCATATCATAGTATAAATATGTGGTCTACATGGTGGTAGGAACACTAACTATTTATCATCTTCTACCACCATCATACCACTATAGTAGATGGTGATGTAGTTGGTTCGAACAAAATGTTACCCGAATATATTGAGAACGTATATAATTTTGTAGATCACAATGAACCCAAACTCTTTTGTGCCATTTTTTCAACATCTGGGTCAAAGTGAATTAGGTAAGAGGTAGTAGTAGGTAGTCTGAAGAATTTTTTTTCCAAATATATAAAAATGATTATAATTTTTGTATATCAGAATCAACTCGTTTTTCTGGGTTAAATAAAAAATGCAAATTAAAATGAAGAATATAAAATTAAATTAAAATTGAAATAGTGGACTAAAGCAATCATTTAATGTTAACCATCAGATATAGCCCCACACAAAATCATTTAATGTTAATCATTTGATCCTAGATCACTATGTATTTTTATTAAACATGTGTCCTACTATTTTTTTTTGCATCAAACATACTCATTTTTTGAAACATTATCAAACATGCTTACTCTTAAAATTTGCATCCAAAAACCATCACTAACTGTTGTAACATGGTTCAAATGACTTGGCCACAACAAAAGGGAAGAAAAATATTAGTTTTGTCACTCCATTTATTTCTCCAAGCCCACTAAAGTAAAATTATTAGAGTTATTGGGCTATACAAAAGAAAACAATATTAAATTGAAATTATTAAGGGTGCCTAAGTATTGCCCAAACCCAAGTTCCACACGGTTTCTGGATTAAATTGTATCCCAATGACACATTTAGACAAAAATATAATAAAAAATGCATCTTTGATAAAAAAACACCTAATAAAAGCGCATAATATACCTATACTAACTATATAAAAACCATTTATACTTGTTTGATTGCTCGCAAAGTAGGGATGTCAATTTCAACTTGCCCCCGCTGGGTATTACCCGACCTGCAGTAGCATGGGGTGGGGTATGAGTATCTACTTCCGACCTGCCCTATCCCTCCCTGCCTCGTTTTTGGCACATTATATTTCAATTTCTTATAATATCTACTCATATTTCTTCTATATTTGACTTTTTTTTCCAACTAGTTAAATTTCATCTTTCAACTAGTTAAACTCAATTACTCATTATATTATTACTATTTTTCATTCGTAAAATGTTTTCCCTCTGCGTTATTGTAAAAATTAAAATTTTGGGTGAATAAATAACAAGAGTGGATCAACCTGCCCACCCTGTACTCGCGCAGATATTGTTTGTCCCAACCCGCACTTAGTGCAGAACGTATGTAAATATTGAGATACCCGCCCCAATACCATCGCTATCATTTTCCCGCCCTATTACCATCACTATAGCTAAGCTTTCATACTTAACCACATTGCACTACATGCCCGGATGCCCATAGCCCCATACTGCATCTCCTTGCTTCTTTGCTCTGACATTACATGTTAGACTTGTACTGCATCACACGTAATTGCACTGTACCAACTTAAATTGGATAGTCTTTGTTCCCAAGCAATGTAAGTACAAAATTATTAATAGAATTCTCATACCCTTTTCCCTTCCAAACTCTCTTCAATACCATGTTAAAAAAAAAAAAAAAAACTCGCATACAGGGTGAAAACAATACAAACATATCAATTTCACATTTGCAATTCATAACCACATATTTTGCCAGAACTTAAAAAGGTGAAAACCAAAGTTTTCTCTCCCAACCTCCACTTTCCTCCTTTCCAGTTTCCACAATATTCCCCCATTAGTTCAAAAAATCAAAAGCCAACCACAACCTGATAGTGACTCTTAAGCATCATCGACAAGACTACAACTACATTTTCAAGTAGGAGTAATAATAACAAAAGATGAAAGAAAAATTCGCAATTGCATCTCAACTGCAAATCTGCAACACCACACCACACCCATTCTTTTCTTATAAACCCTCTCCATACCAAAATATTCAGAGTTTTTTCTCACTCTCCTACTGACAACTGGACGGCCTCCCTTCAAAGCAACCCCAAAACCCAAATTCACAAAAAAAAAAAAAAAAGAATTCCCCATTTCTCCATATATGAAATGAAAACCAATTAAGCCCAAAGAGAACCCACTCCTCTCATTCCAATTTCCCCTGTTTCTGTTTCTGAGGAAAACGAAAACCCAAATGGGGATCATCAAGATTTCAATGATCTCATTCATCCTAATCTCCCTCCTCTACTCCTTCCTCTACATCCCGGCCACCAACCTCTCTTCTCCACCCACCGCATCCCCTGCCGCCGCAGCCAACAAAAACATCCTCCGCGGCACTTATCCCGTCAAATTCGCCTACTTGATCTCCGCATCCAGAGGGGACTCCAGAAAACTGATGCGGCTCCTCAAGGCCCTATACCATCCGGGCAACTACTACCTCGTCCATTTGGACTCCGCCGCTCCCCCGGAAGAGCACGGCCGACTGTCGGAGTTCATCGCCGGCGAGCCCGTTTTCAGAGCAATGGGGAATGTTTGGATGGTCGGGAACCCCAATCTGGTGACTTACAGAGGGCCCACCATGCTGGCGACTACCCTCCACGCCATGGCGATTCTTCTTCGGGCTGCCAACTGGGATTGGTTCATTAATCTCAGTGCCTCCGATTACCCTTTGGTTACTCAAGATGGTATGGTGAGTGAATTCTTTTTTTCATTTATTTAACATTTCCCACCCCCTGTTTCTTCAAAATTGGATTGAATTAGCCGGAATCGGAGACTATAATCACGATTGGGATTTCTGATATCTGGGTTTTGTAGATCTGATTGATGCATTTTCTGGGTTGCCGAGAAATCTCAACTTCGTACAGCATAGCAGTCGCTTGGGCTGGAAACTGTAAGCCAAGATCACTCCTTTTTTCTGCCCCAAAGTTCTCTGTTTTCTTTATAATAATGTCTTGTTTAAATGTGGGTTTTAAGTTTGATTATTGGTGTTAATTGAATCAGGAATAAGAGAGCTAAGCCCATAATAATAGACCCAGGGTTGTACAGCAACAACAAATCAGAGATCTGGTGGGTGATTAAACAAAGGCCCATCCCCACTGCCTTCAAGCTCTACACAGGTAATTAGCATCAGTCTGATGAAATGAATTCTTTTTTTTTTTGTATAAATGACAAAAGATTAGTGTTTGTTTGTCTAGTTTGGATAATATATTATTTAGTTAAGATGTGGGATTAAGCATTAATTAACTCTAAAATTAAACTGTAAACAAAATTGGAAAACACTAGGATTACTGTATTACTCTTATCAGTCAGAGAAGGAGCATGTGCTAAACCTCAGACCGACACATGTAGCAGTAGTACCCCGCCACAGTACATGCTTATTTTAGATTCTTATTCATTATTTTCCTTTTAATTCTACAACAACTATGGTTGCTTTTCATAAAAAAAAAAAAATGTTTCTTCTTTGTTCTGCGTCTGCCATCTGGGTTTTTTGTAATTCTAATGTCTAGATTTACTCATCAGTCTTTGTTATCATCCGATCCACCTGCCGACAGTAATTATGGACCACTTGTTTGTGGCCTGAACCTGACCTCAAATCTAAGACCCTGCTTTCCAGTTTTACAGAATCTCTCTTCTCTTTTAAAAATTTCTTCATTTGGGGAATCGAATCAGTGAAAAAAGGGCAACAAGAAAACTTTTCATGGGTTCGATTCCCGCCACTGGGATTATATAGGTGTTGTAGCATTGTGAGCATCTAACGATGTTAGCTTGCTCCAAATGCCACTGCTTCCAACCTGATTCGTCCATTGCGAAAAAGAGGAGAAAATATTTTCTTGCAGGTAACTGCACACGACGTGTTTTCTTATTTTAAATGATCGTCTGGAGCAGTGGCGGACCTAGGTTAGCGCAAGACTTGCCAATTGACAAACCTTGTTTCTATTTTTTGACAAAATTCTTTTGTAAAATTTTATTTTTGCGATGATAGTATTTGAACTCAAGGCTATTTGACAATCCTTGGTGATTTATTTCATCGTTGAATACCCTTGAAGTAATTTCTGGGTCCGCCACTGGTCTAGAGGGAACCGAAATATTCACCTCCTATCGGGGGATCGGAATCTTGCCACTCAAATCCATGCGCCACTGAACCGACCTGTTAGTTTTAGATACGAGATCAACGATGGAAACATCTCATATTTTGCCTTAGAATTGAAGTTTGGCATATATATATTGTAACGACGAGCCCTTGGAACAAGAACCCAACTTCCCTCCCCTTTCCGTGAGTTGCAAGGCATCAATCAATCTTACACACATTGCCTTTACTCAACAGCAACAGCCCAACCTTCACCGTCATTGTTGGTATCACATTCCTTGGCAATATGCCATGTTGCTACCAATTAATAGCTTGCGGCAGCCATCGGAAATTGAGACATCCACCAAACTAATAAAATGCGAGAGATGTATGTAACTGAATTAGACCTTCTTTTTGGTGGAACATGTGATTCTACAGGCTACCTAGCTAGGTCGAATAATGTGAGAAGAAAGATGGGGAAAACGTGAGGTTGTCCCTTTCCCTTTGTCTTTTCTTTACCTTTACCTTTCCATTCCAATAAACATTTGCTGGGTAGGTAAGTTGTTGATGTACTAAACTAACCAGCACCTACCTTTACAGAAGAAAGAAGAGTTACCATTTGATTACCATATTCAGGAATCTAGAACCAACCTAATAATTAACCCAACTGACTGATTGTTGTTTGTTTCAATTTCAAAGAGATTAGATACTATATACATACATGCATGTTCATCAGACATGAGAAATTGAACAGTGGGTCTGGTATCCACTAGCTAGTTTGACGATCTAGTTTGTTTGATTTACTTCAATTTCCAAATCAGTTGATTGATTATCTCTAGTAGATTAACCTAACCATATAACTATGGCAATCTCGGTAGATTTTTGGTGATTGTTTTGATATGGTGCGACCCGATTCAGTTACTCATTGATGATAGATTGAAAATTATCGATGATACAGGTTCAGCTTGGACGATCCTATCAAGATCATTCGCGGAGTACAGCATTGTAGGATACGAGAACCTGCCCAGAACTCTCCTCCTCTACTACACAAACTTTGTGTCTTCGCCAGAGGGCTACTTCCAAACCCTTATATGCAACTCGCCGGAGTTCAGGAATACAACGGCTAACCATGACCTCCACTACATTACTTGGGACAACCCACCCAGGCAGCACCCTAGGTACCTCACCCTCAAGGACTATCGACGAATGATCCTTAGCGCCCGCCCATTCGCTCGCAAGTTCAAGCGCAACGACCAGGTCCTTGACAAGATCGACCGTGAGTTGCTCAGGAGGTCTCACAACAATGGCAATTTTGGGTATGGAGGGTGGTGTTTGGAGGGTGGTAGGGGTAGTGTTGGAGGGAAGAGGAAGAGGAGGAATGGTAATGGAGGGTGTCCTAGTATGGTGGATGTCGATAGGATTAAGTATGGGCCTTTGGCTCCTGGGCCGGGCTCCAGGAGATTGAGAAGCCTGATCAGTAAATTAGTATCGGATAACACTTTTGTGAAACGACAATGTAGATGAACACTATTGGTAATGTCTTCTATAAGGTTGTTTGGTTAGTGTGAGCATATATAATACATCATTTTTTTAGTTGTTCATTCTTTTTTTTTTCATTCACCAAACATACAGTTTAATTTGGAAGAATGATAATGCATGATATTATTCACTTCTGTCTGTCATATGAGTGTTTTTTTATCTTGAAATATATTGAATAATTTCAATGAATCTTAGTATCTTTATGAAATCTTTTTCGTGTTTTTTTTTTCTTCCTCTTTAATATTAAGATAGTTGTATCTCTACATCATATCTTATGGGAAACAAAATGTATACCTGTGGACTAACAATTTTGCTCATTAGACCATTAAGTTGACAACTGACATGTCTGGAATTGCAAAACAAGCAAACAGCGAATCGGCTGAAGCTAAAGCCCAACAAAAACTGAATCGAGGGGGATCTGTTAATGTGGGTGGGCTTTACCGTTACCCATTTCTCTTTTCACGTAGCAAAAGAAGTCCAAAATAAGCCCACAGGGTAAAATATAAATTTCTCTCAAACGAGTACTTAGCTAACTTTCATTATTTACATAATTAACAACAAACATTTATAAATAAACGTAAATATAAAGTGAATCGAAACAAAATTACATCAAACGAGACAATCAATAAATACTAACGAAAGTGAAATTAAGCCTAAACATGATATGGAGGAAAAATCAATGAACGTAAAACAGAAAAGGCAGCTAAAAATTTGAAAATATACTAAAAATCACACATAAAAGCAGTAGGGAATTGAAATTAACAAGAAAAGCAGCTTAAAATATTGAAAAGATAAAAGGGTAATAAAACAAGAAAGAATCAAAATAATAAAAATTTAGTAAAATGAGAACTGGTGGATCGAACTCAATGCCTCCATCTAATTCTCTTGCTTAGCTAACTTTCATTATTTACATAATTAACAATGCACATTTATAAATAAACGTAAATATTAAGTGAATCAAAACAAAATTATATCAAATGAGACAATCAATAAATACTAATGAAAGTGAAATTAAGCCTACAAAGACAAGACTCCTAATTAGACTACTAACCTAACTCTCATCTCATACACTAACCCTATTTGGTAACTGTGTAATTAAGAAACTAAACCCACAAGTTAGGTAGCAAACTTGAACAGTAATTGCCAAGCCCTCATACATGTCGAGCAAGACCACAGACCTACCGGCCAACGTTTCCTCATTATCAGATAGTCTAATTAGTGATGTTTTTTGGACGAAATCCAAAAATAAATTCGTGCGTGTTTGGTTTGGTTTAAAGCGGACAATATCATACTAATAGATTGTTCGGTTTCGAAGCAAGTAACATCAAAACCTAGTTGGGAGTTTAGGTTTGAGATGATGAAGCATACGCATACAAGTTCTTGGAAATGGACATGAATGGCAGACCATTGTTCCTCTAACATGTGACCTACGTTTTGTCCTCATTGGTCCGGATAATAAGTGAAACGTAAACCCCACTTTTGATTTTTGAGTATGTTGGACTGAGTGAAAGGACGAATGGGAAATGGTTTCAACTTCTCATCTCCCGCATACATAATCAGCAGAGACATAATCTTACTTACTATTTAGTGACAAACACCAAAGCAACAAAGCTGTGAGTTTAGTTCACACCAAGGCTAACAGGCAAAGCAAGTAAATATCAAGCTTAGCTACCAGGCAGACATTTGCTTATATGGGAACACATGCAAGAGCCAAGTGTTTTGATGTCACTTTCTCTCTTGTTGTCGTCTCCACCGCCCTAAATCCCAGCCTTCCCCTCCTCTTGTTCTATTCTCTGTCTTCTCCTCCCAGTTTTTGTCCTGTCGACGCTGTCGTCCTCTTCAATTGCATAATTGATCACATATAGTAACTCTGCTGTATAGGAACTCATGATGGTGGATATCCGACCACCCTTGACATATTTAATGTAAAACTAGGGTGTTTTCTTCGCGCTTTGCCGCGGCTTTCCAGTTCATATATGAATTTGTTTGTCAACCCGTTTGTGCAAGAAAAGGAAGTGGGTCGGAGAAAGAATTAGCTTCAATAAGGAAATTAATTCACTTTCCTACTAAGATGAAGAACTGGCGACTTACATGTGTGAACGGGAAAAGTAACCGAATTTAACAAAACATAGTTGGTATTCTTCCTAAAAAATGACATCAATATTGGAGAACGACATATAAAAGGTAATTAATTCCCGTTTTAGTTTTCCTTTGTTGCTCTTCTCTCCTTTCCCCGACTATTGATTTTTTTTTGTTTTCTTCCATTCACTTTAATTCATCCTTGCATGAGTCGCATCTACAACTTTCCATACCAATTTTCTTATAGTTGTCTTTTGATTTCTGGTGTCCTAGTGTTCCTCTTTTTTCATTTACCCATCTCAGCACACGCATTACATCCACGTCCTAGGATAAATCAAGATATGAATCTGACCAAATTAGATTCTTCGTCGCCCGCCGCCAACTCCACCTCTGCACCTGGAACTATTGCTCCGCCTCCACTCCAGCCAGGATAGCTTTGGAGCACCTCAACTACGTGTCTCACTCTAAGAATCTTGATTGATCTACACATAATATAATACGCTGAAGGGAAAAACGGGAGCTCCATTTCAAATTTCCTGCAACGAGAGTGAAAGTAGGAAGGACATTTTAGTCTTCACAATTACTTTTTTTTATTCATTAAAAAGACACGTACTGGGATTCGAACAATGACCATTTTAAAGAAAAGCAAAGACCATAACCAATCACACTAAGTACATTTGTTGTATCTTTTTAAATTAAAAACATATAATAGCAGGGAGGGAAAAACCCTTTCCCCATTTCAAATTCCATGCTCGAGGAGCGTTTGTAGGAAGGGTAGAATAGGGAGTGTCAATTTTTTTCTCTTTCCTCTGCGGAACGGGCCAACTTACTGTACACATGCGAATTTAAACGGGCCCAGGAGTGTCAATTTTTTTCTTTAAACCTTTTTATTTCTCTGTGGTGATAAAATATATATGAAAAGGAGTTGAATGCATATCTAATGAGCTAATCGCTAACCATAAAATAAAAGAGTTGAATAGGCCTGACCTACATGGGATTTGGCCATCAAGTGAAACAAATGAACATCATTGGTTTTCCATTCTAAAACAAGCTATTTTCTCTGGCATAATATATATTGTGCTATTATTCTATATCTTAGTGGCTAAAATATAATGTATTTTAGAGTTATTCCATGGTTCAACCTCGACCAACCCAATTAGTTCAATTTTTATCATTTCAAATATATATTTTATAATTATTTGATATCATAATGATCAAATTATAGTGTATTTTATAGGGAATCGTTTGGAATTTGTTAGTAAAAAACTAAACATAAAAGATCTATTTAGTTATTTTAAACATTAAAACGATCCTAACTATTTTTAGTTCTTTTTGAATTTCTATGGTTTTATTCCCGAATAAGTGATGTGCAAATGGCGAATTGTAGTCGTCTCTTTTCTTTCACTATTTTTTATTTTCAAATAGAAAGTTTAAAAGTAAAGAATAATTAGAATTTGGCATGGGTCGGTCAAACAGGCTGAATTTCAAGTTTTGGCCCGTTTGTTTTATGCATTGCAAATTTATTAGCATGTTGATGGAAATGGCTTGGAAAAAGACATATAAGTTGTACCTTTGCAGAAATATCCTCAAATGTTTGAATGCTTTGTGAATCACTTTTCGTGACTTTTGTGATGGTGTATGTGCTTGACGATTGCGATGTTGTAACTGCTTAATTTGAGAGTAAATCTTTTGATTTTCCCTATGAGTTGTGATACCAGTTCTGGTGGTTGCAACATGTTGTTGTTGTTGGCCTGTAAAAGTTGTTCCGCCGTGATGCTAAATACCTTTCTTTCTTTTTTAACAAATTGTGTAGTAGTGCTATGAAACAGACCACCCATGAACGCGACGCTTATTATGGTCTGTTCTTACTTCCGGTGGTGAGAAATTGTGAATTGAGAATCATATTCGCCTACCGCACTGTGTTTGGCTGGTGGTTGCTTACTGTGCTTTCTAGAGTTATGAAACAGACTACCCATGAACGTTACCCTTAAGAGTCCATAACTTTGCGAAAAACCAAATTTAGGCAATCAAAGGTGGTGGATGTGTGATGATTTTTTATGGCTTAATTGTTTGTGAATTGGATATATGATCTTTGTATGATTAGAGGGGATGTTTGCTTAATAGAATAATCTATTTTAATTCATGTTTATTTTTAACATGAACTTTAGTAACTCAAAACCTTCGAGACACATATCACCTACTGCATTGTATCATTTTTCCTGGGTGCTTGTTGTGTTGTCAAACTTCTTTGCTGATGCTGCTTTTATACTAACAGGGGAGTTAAGAACCCATGAATGTTTCCGTTTGACACAAACAGGAGGACTTGCTTCTAAATCGTGCACTAAAGATGATTGGAGGAAACATTTCTGTTGCAGTTGATATACTGCAGACCAGAACAAAAGCAATGTATAACATCAAAACCAACCATATGAACTATTAGCATTGTTGCTTTACTATTTTTTCGTGGTTGAGTCTCCTTCAAAAAATTTAGTTTGATTTTAGAAAATTTTGCTTCTGCAGTCCTGTCTTGCCACCAACGCGTTCAGTAGATGGAGATGGCAGAGGCGAAGCCTATTTTTTTGTTGTTGTTGTTGCTGGTTTAGGGATCGGTTTGTGAAGAAGAGGGAGAAGAGAGGGGGAAAGGGAAATGCAGGAGAGGGGGGTAACTCTTTTCTCCGACAAAAATGGAGTGAAGAAAGGAATTATGATCAATAAGAATATGGTTATCTTACATAACGGTCTCTATTCTGTTTCAGTTGAGCTTGGGAGGCAGTGATTAGGATGAGCTGCAACCAATTCATAGTGAGAAGAGAGCTATGAACTGTGATCATGTCTTATTTCAAGTTAGAAGGTAGTTTCAGTATAAGGATTATTTAATTTGACAAGTTGCTTCGTCCATGATTCTT